CGTCATTTGGGTTTGCCCTCATAAACTGTTTATTGGTGAAGACTTGGTCAAGACTTTGTGCCACCGCTTTAAAAAATTTTTTAAAAATGTTTCTTTTTGACAGAGAGAGAGACAGAGTGCGAGTGCAGGGGGGGGACAGAGAGAGAGGGAGACGCAGAATCCGAAGCAGCTCCAGGCTCTGAGCTGTCAGCACAGAGCCTGACAAGGGGCTCGAACCCATGAACTGTGAGATCGTGACCTGAACCAAAGTCAGACGCTCAACCGACTGAGCCCCCCAGGCGCCCTGGTGTGCCACCGCTTTTTCAAGAGAAGAAAATTAGGGTAGCTTGGCTGGCTCGGTCAGTAGAGCAAGCAACTTTGGATCCTAGGGTCGTGAGTTCAAGCCCTGGAGCGTATTAAAAAGAAAATACAACAAAGAGAAGAAAATTAAACTGCTTGTCAAGACGGACTTGTTTTCTAGAACCTCATGCAGAGTCACTGGCGGAGCAGCCGTCCGCTCTCCGACTTGTCTTACAGACCAGGCCCTGGTGCAGGGAAGGGTGTGTGAATCCCTTGGGACATTTCCCTTGCTGCTCGCTGCAGAGCTCAGTTTTGTGACTGGCAAATAAAAGGCGGATGGTGTTGCTTCCTGGGATAAAAGTCTTCCTCATACCTGTACTTGACATTTTGTATGTTTCTCCCTGGTCTGGGAGGGGCCGGCTGGCCCTTGTTAACCTTGTATCACACGCCCGGTGTGCTGGCCCCCTGGGCCTGGAAGGAGCGGGGAGGGAACCTGCCGCCATGGCCACAGCTGCGGGGGAGGGTGGGGGTGGGGGTGGCGGTTCAGGCTCCCGGAAGCAAGCGTCTCTTACTTTCCCGGACTGTACCGTGCGGACCGGTGTTGCCGGGCAGTGCAGGAGCCGCCGTCGTTTGCTTGCTGTATCTGTCGTCCACACGCGCTCTGTCCGGACTCGACGGCAGGGATTTCCTTCCTCATCTCGTGACGTCCGCCACTCACCCTGCTCTTGAAGCGTAACCCGGCCCTCAGCAAGTGCTTCTGGGATGGACCGTCCCTGATACCTGCCCTCTTAGGACATAGCCGTTAGTAATGATTAACTCAGCAAATGGGGTTTTGAATCCTCAGTCTGTGCCAGGCATTTGGCCAGGCACTGGCGTCTGCAGCCTGTCAGCTTAGCGCTGTGCCTGCCTGAAACCCAGCAACCAGCAGAGAGACGTGGGGACAGCTGTACAGACAGTCATCTGAGGCGTGTGGCCGCAAAGAGCCTAAGAGGAAGGGGGGTCTGCGGCCTCCTGGGGAAGTAGGGGGAGGCTTCTTGGAGGAGGCGGTCTCACAGGCGTGCTGTGTCTCTTTGGAGCTCCCCCGGCCAAGCTGGGGAGAGCACCCAGGCAGTGGGGCCGCATGGCGCAGCATGGAGGGGGCGAGGGTGACGGCTCAGGGCTGCCCTGGCCAGCTCAGGGAATTCAGGCTGATCCCGTCTTAGAGAACGTGCGACTCGGAGGCCGGCCTCTGCAGCTGGCCGCCTGGCGGGCTTCCAACGTTCACCCCGCGGCCTCCCTGAGAAGCAGGCGCTTTGTTTGTGTGGCCACAGAAGGCAGGTGGCCTGGACTGCGGCTTCTGGTTTCATTGTCCCGGCGGCCCCAGGCGGAAGGGCCCGAGGGCAGGGGGCTTGGCCCTCGCGGGGTTGGTTTAAGCGTGTGTTGCAAACAGAAGCACTTTCTTGCTTTCAGGTTTATCTCCCTGAAGCCTGGCACCTTGTTGTGTGAGGTTCAGGGAACTGAGGCTTAGAAGTAGTGGGGCTTCTGAGGCACTGTCCCCCCCCCCCCCCCCCCCCCCCCCGAAGACGCCCTTGTCCTGACGTCCTGGCCCCCGGGCTCTGCTAGGCCTGCTCCGTCACCCCCCGCACGCCTTCACCGGGGTGATTCCGAGCAGGGTCCTTGTGTTCACTTGGCGTTCTTGTTTTGTGCGCCTGACTGTTCTAGGCTCACATTCCAGTCTGCATACGTGTTTTTGCAGGTACTTAGCTGTCCGTGGGGCCGAAGTAGAGAAAATTCGCATTTACTGGGCGCCTGCTGTGATCTGACGTGGGCTGTGCCAGCGCCGCCTCGTTTCATTTATTCTCAGAGCAGCCGTGTTGTGCTGCGCAGTCCGTACCGGCGGGAGGGCAGTTGAGGCTCGGGAAGGGTAAACGCGTCCCCGCGGTCGGTGGCAGCTGGCTGGGCCACCGGGCGCTCAGCTCTGCTCGCTGTGCGTGTTTCCCCTGGCGTTGCTGGCTTTTTGCCAGTAGGACCTATCAGCATGTAGGTGGTGTTTTGGTAATTCTGGTAACTTTTGACATTGCCAGAGGTTAGCTCTTAACTGTGTGCTCAGAATGCCTCTTACCGTGTTTTCCGTTTAACTAACAAATAATGTGGAAGTCCCAAGTTCACGCACATTTGAACCTCTCTGTGTCTTCCTGTTGTGAGTCCTGTTCTTTCACAGGGTGGTGGAGTTCAGGGATTCTCCTACGGCAGGGTCTCAGGGTCTCAGGGTCTCAGAATTTGCTGCGGCTCTGCTTGGAGGGGCTTGGGGCTGGGGGCTCAGGGAGGAGGCAGGAAGTTGAGGGCAGTGGGCACCACGGGACACTGAAGTGTGTTCACGTGTGCTGAGGCAATGCCCAGACTCTTTCGGAGAATGAACTGAGTTCTTGCTCCGCGGGTTAAGAGAAGCCCCTGAGCGACACATTTATAATTTTATGTGTGTATTGACGTCTAATTTTGCAATTTTGTTTCGTTGTAGTACCGTGTGGTTCTGCTGCCTTCTAAGAAAAATTGATCAGTGATTTACCATTGTGATTAAATAAGCCTCACTCACTGGGTCAGATTTCAAGTTTTTATATATAGTTCAGTCTATTTTTGAATTCTGCATTTCGATTCATCCCTTCACGTTTCTATTTTGGCTCCAGTGCTGCACGGGCTGGCTGGTTCCTTGGGTTTCTGGGAGGGAGGGAGATCACCCCACCCCCTGCTTTACTTCTGGTGAATTTAAAAAAAAATTTTTTTAATGTTTTATTTATTTCGAGAGAGAGAGAGAGAGAGTGTGAGCAGGGGAGGGTCAGAGAGAGAGGGAGACACAGAATCCGAAACAGGCTCCAGGCTCTGAGCTGGCTGTCAGCACAGAGTCTGATGCGGGGCTCAAACCCACGAACTGCAAGATCATGACCTGAGCTGAAGTCGGACGCTCCACCGACTAAGCCACCCAGATGCCCCTTTTTTTTATATTTTAAAATTACTTCTGGTGAATTTGCTGTGTTGACATGGTGAAGGGGTCATGTGTCCTGATGGGGGTTGGGAAGGCCCAGCAACCCCAAAAGGTGCTGGTTACTGTTGTTGCTGCCCTGCTTCTAGAACCTTCCACCACTGCCTCTTTGATGATGGCCGCTACCCATAGAGCGCTCTCAGAATGCTTTTCTCCTGGTACTTTACTTAATTCTGCCCAGACAGTCCAGTGCATCTGGGGTTAGAGCCCAGGAAAAGCCCCATTGGAACCCAAGAAAGTACCATTCTTTACATTGTTCTATGCCATGGATCAGATTTCAATAACCCCACCAGATTTCTTTAGTTTTGACATTCCATTTTATTTATTTTAATGTTGTTTAAGATTTATTTTTGAGAGAGAGGGAGAGAGAGCACGAGTGGGAGAGGGGCAGAGAGAGAGGGAGACAGAAGATCTGAAGCAGGCTCTATGTTGAAAGCACAGAGCCCGATGCGGGGCTCAAAGTCACAAACTGTGAGATTGTGACCCGAATCGAAGTCAGATGCTTACCCGACGGGGCCACCCAGGCGCCCCAATTAGTTGTGACATTTTAAAGGTAGAAGGTCGCGTCACCTCCACCAGGGTTCTCAGTCTCCGAGGCTGTGCCGTCTAGGCCTGTGCACCTGCCACCCCATCATTCCCACCCCGGTCTTAGGCCAGAGAACTGTAGGCGGGTGTGTGTGTCACCGACAGCTTTGACTCTCGTCACCCAAGTCTTTATTGTAGGTCCGCGGCCTTTATTTTTCCCGTGTTGATTCTGTGCCTTCCCCGAAGCAGCCTCCGACCTGGGTTGACAGCCCCACGCTGAGCTATTCATCCACAAGGTTTGGCCCTTCTGAGGTCAGTCCCGGCCCTGCTGGCAAGTGACACTATGAACTCGAACCCGTTTAGTGGCCTCTGAGCCTTGGTCTCCTCCCCAGTAACGGGGGTGATCTGCCCTGCCTCACAGACGTAAGTAAGGCGGCCACGTCGTGGAGGCTACGACTGTGCTTGGGTCATCGTCCTGCCTGCGGCACGTGGTTTATCTTGTTTCCTGTCTTGGTGGTGACATCTTGATTTGTATGCTGACTCAGAATAAGGAGAACATGACTTACCTTTAGGTTGTGAATTCATGTCCCCCCCTTTTTTTAATGTTTATTTATTTTGCGGGGGAAGAGAAGGGAAGAGGTGGGGAAAGATAGACCCCCAAGCATACTCCCCACCGCCAGTGCAGAGCCTGACACGGGGCAAGCTCACAAACCATGAGATCATGACCTGAGCCGAAATCGGGAGTCAGATGCTAAACCAACAGAGCCGCCAGGCACCTGTGAATTCATGTATTTTTGACAGAGGTATTCCATTAAAAAAAAAAAAAAGTGAAAACCAGAGAGTCCTCTCTCCCTGCCTGGCCCGGTTCTCACACCCCCAGTGCCATCTTGGGGGTCAGACATGTGACTGGTGCGGTGATGGTGACGAAGGGGATTGTTTAAGTATTTTTACCTTAGACATATGTAGCCTTTGGGTGATTGTCCCGTTATTTTATATCGTGGTAACATATGCTAAAACTCTAGCTTCTGGTCCTGAATTAAAACTTGAGTACATAGGACTTTTTTCAAGGATTCCTCTGTAGAAAGGGCATCAGAACATTCGAGCTGTGCACGAGCAGAGTGGCATCCGTAGGCTTTTATAGCCACGGTATTCATCTCCCATTTTTGTATCTTTGCCCTAGTTTCTCCTTGGACCAAGATGACTGATGGAAACCTTTCCACCTCTACAAATGGCGTAGCCTTGATGGGGATTCTGGACAGTCGGCCAGGAAAGCACATTCAGAACCTGCAACACCTGAACCTCAAGGCACCCAGATCCCTCTCGTTGCCAGAGTACGGGCCCAGGCTGAAACCTGGGCCCTTAGAAGACCGGCACAGCCTTCAGTCCGTGGACTCGGGCATTCCTACCCTCGAGATCGGCAACCCGGAACCCGTCCCCTGCAGTGTGGCCCACGTGAAGAGGAAGCCATCCGAGTCGGGGACCGTCCCCGAGCGAGCCTGCCAGAGTGCGTGCCCGCTGCCGTCCTACACGCCGCCGGCTCCGGGCAGCGCCGAGTGGGAGCGGGGCGTGCGCAAGTCGTCCACGTTCCCCAGGACGGGCTATGACTCGGCCGAGCTCTACAGCCCCGCCTCCAAGGCCCTGAACCGCAGCGACGATGTCTCCGTGTGCAGCGTGTCCAGTCTGGGCACGGAGCTGTCGGCCACGCTGTCCGTCAGCAACGAGGACATCTTGGACCTTGTGGTCACGAGCAGCTCCAGTGCCATCGTGACCCTGGAGAATGACGATGACCCGCAGTTCATTGACGTCACCTTGAGCTCCGCCAAGGAGGCCCGGGAGCCGTGCCGGCAGGACCGTGTCGATGGAACGGAGGATGGGAGTAAATCGAAAATACTGGGACCATTTAGTAACTTCTTCACCAGGTAACACCATCTTTGTCCCTGCAGGGGTGAGGTCGCCGGACCAGCTGCACGTCCTCACCGAAAACGTGGGCTTCCTGCCTTGCCGAGCAGGCCCCGTGGCATGCAGGCTGTCGCGTCTTTCCCGGTGGCCCAGGGTCCTGTGGAGTGCGTGTCGGGCTGTCGTGTGGTGATTCTGCTGTCTGGGTCCTCACCGCCAGCGGTCACTTCCCTGGCACGCTCGGACAGCTCGTTGTCCCTTCCTGGCCTCTGAGCGGCTGTGGCTGCGGGCGATCCACGGGTGACCAGGCGCCAGATCAGCAGCCTCTGCCTTTGTCAGCCTCGTGCCCCGAAGGGCCTGCTGTGCTAATGACTCGAGCCTCCCGGGCCAAGGACAGGGTGCCTCCGGAGAGTGGGGGGGCTCGGAGCTAATAACCCACGTTTCCACCTCAGCCCCCGCCTGCGTCCGCTGGCACCCCTGGCCGTTGGGCCCCCGCAGGGCTGTGCGCTGGCATCCGTGCTGTGGCCCTGGCCCTGCTGCCGCGGTGTGGCTCTCCCACTGTGTCAGGACCAGGCCACGCACGTGCCCAGGCCAGGGCTCGCAGAGGACCTGCCCCCTGCTGTGCTCTCGTGGTTTTGTCCAGCAGGCGTGTGTGGCCCCCTGCCCCCGCTCTGCTCTGGGCAGGTCTGCCCGTGGGGAGGGTTCGCAGGCTGCAGGTGGTGGGCGGGGACCCCTCCGTCCGTCTGTCGTCTGTCACATGAGCGGCTGTGGACCGCCCTCCCCCCCTTGCTGTGCAGTGCTGTGAGGAAGGGCGCAGGGGCTGTGTGAGAGGGTGTGCAGGGGAATGGCAGCCTCATTAGCTGTGCGGGCTCTGGGCCCATTTCTGTGGTTGACCCCAGCCGCCCTCCGAGCGTGTGTACTGCAGCAAAACCCACATGGGACACCTTGTGGTCCTGCGTGTCCCTCTGAGGTGCCGTGCCGGAGACTGATGTGACTGTGGGCGCCTGTGGTAGCTCACGGCTGTGTGTGTGGTGTCCGCGGGTCGTCTTGCAAGAGGCTGGGCCCCGACTTGAGGGGAGGCTCTTCGGCGCAGCTGGGGTTCCTGGGACACCTTTTCTCCGGGACGTGCCCACAGACGGGCGTCACCTCCCTAGGTAGCATCCCTAGTCCTGGAGCCCCATAGAACTTGGTGACTCCAGGACCCCTTCAGGAGGGGAGCCCAGGGGCCGTGGGGGAGACGGTCGCTGTTTCTTCCGAGGCCGTGGCCCTGAAGTTGGTCGTGGTTTGGATCTGTGTGGCTGAGCTGTTCTCTTCACTCACACCATTTCCAGCATCTCCTGTTTCTAGACACCCCCGGGGGCCTGTTGCCCAGGGCTCCCAGGACCCATCCCAGAACCCGAGAGTCAGAGTCTCAGGGGAAGGGCTTGGAGACAGGCTTGCAGAGCCACGTGCGGCTCTAGGCAGGTTTGGGGAACCCGCTTCGAAATGGGGTGGCTGGGAAGCAGCAGAGGAAAGAGCTAGGGATTAACAGACCTGCGCCCACACCCTAGCTGTGCGACCCTGAACGTGCCGCCTCCCCTCTCTGAGCTCATTTTCTCGTCTCTAAAATGGCGTTAGAAAGTGCCCAGCACAAGATGCCCATCTTGCGGTGACGTCTGGAGTGCTCTCATCAGACCTTCAGGTGGTGGTCACGGGGCTGAAGTGACCGGATTGAGCCGACGGAGGAAGCTCTCAGGTGTCAGGTGCTCTCAGGGGCCTCCAGGGCCACGCGTGGCTCTACTGCCCCGTCTCAGCCTGTGCCGGAGCCTCTTGTCCTCTGGAGGGAAGCACCATCCGTCACTGTGGATCGTGGCTAAAGCGGCTTTTTGTTTTTTTTTTTAAATAGAAGTGTAGCTGACACGCAGCGTTATGTTACTTTCAGGTGTAGAGTGGAGGGGTTGGACATTTACATACGTTACTGAGTGACCATTGAGGTGACTCTCACTGCTGTCTGTCACCACACGGAGTTGTTCCCTGTTACTATGTTATATCCCCCGTGTTGTATGTCGCACCCTTTTGTCTGATTTAGTTTATAACCGCATTTGGTACCTTTTAATCCCCCTCCCCCGTTTTGCCCATCCTCCCCCTCCTTCCCACCGGGGAAGGATCTGAGCCTGTTTCTGTTTCATTTGTTTTGTTTTTCAGAGTAAACGTATAAGGGAGATTGTATAGTAAAGCAACTGTTGCTTGAAAATCTTTCATAACTTTGTGTCATGGAGATTGGATGCCTCCTCTTCGTTTTATTCTTGGCTTCTTGTCTCCTTACCCCTTTAAAACTTTTTTTTTTTTAAAAGTTTATGTATGTATGTGTGTAATCTCTAATCTCTACACCCATCGTGGGGCTTGGACTTCCGACCCCAAGATCAGAAGCCAGCCGGCGCACCCTCTTACTCTTTGGATGGCTGTCCCAGTATTGTGAGCCACCGTTAAGTACGTTTGGGAAGCAGGTGGCATATTAATGACAAACGGGTGAATATACGTGATACCGTGTGCAAAGTCTAGTGAGTTCTGTGCTAGGGCAAAAGTGTGGGAGAAGAGTTTCAATCTGGGGTTCCTTTGAGGGGAAAAGGGTTCCGCGCCAAAAATGTTTGGAACCCACAGAACATTTGACAGGTGAGCAGTTACAGGTGAGTCAGAGAGAGGGCCCGGTACACAGGACTGGGGGAGCTCTGTGGAGGGCAGGGCTGGGGCCAGAGCTGGCCCTTTGGGGTTTCCCGCCCAGGCTTCTGGGTCCTTCTGTTTCTCCATTTTATCCCCTGCAGCCGGGCGACTTCCTTTACCTCAGAGCCTGTCTCTTTTCTTGTCCTCACGGAACCGGTTTCTAGGAAGCTGGAGGAGGAAGTGGAGGCAGTACTGTGGGAGCTGGTCCCGGAGAACAGGGCTCCGAGCAAGGGGGGGACCCAGCCACCGAGCCTGTGGCCCTGCCTGCTTGAAGAAGGCGGCTGCATAAGACAGGAGCGGAGGAGCCCCAGGAAGGCAGGCCGGCCTGACCACAGGGACCTGGCTCCTGTCGTTCCTTTGATCCGTTCTTCATCCAGCCTGTAGTAGGCCGCGCTGCCGCAGGCTCTGCCCTGAGCTGGGAGGTCCTGGTCCTCACAGCTGCGGGGGACACAGGCGGACGCGTGGGGGCGGGGCGTGAGTGCTGTCACAGGGGTGTGAGCCCGAGCCTGGGAGGGTACTGAAGCCGAGTGTGGGTGCAGGAGTCAGGCTGGCTGGTTCAGCGTGAGCTCTCCCACTTAAAAGCTGTGTGACCTTGGGGACAGATTATTTTACTCTACTGTACTCCTTTTTTTTTTTTCTAACATTTACTTACTTGTTTGAGAGAGACAGTGTCAGCAAGGGAGGAGCAGAGAGAGAAGGAGACACAGAGTCGGAAGCAGGCTTCAGGCTCCGAGCCGTCAGCACAGAGCCTGATGTGGGGTTTGAACACACGAATTGTGAGATCATGACGTGAGCCGAAGTTGGATGCTTAACTGACTGAGCCCCCCAGGCGCCCCTCCTCTGCTGTACTCTAGAGTGGGGCTTAAAACTGCATAAGGTTAGAGATCAAATACATAAAGCACATAGCATGCTGCCTGATACTGTGTAAGTAGTAGTTATCTATGATTCTAACGTAAACATTACCTTTTTTTTTAAGTTTACTTTGAGAGAGAGCGCACATGCTTGCATGCCCCACGTGGGAGGGGCAGAAAGGGGGAGAGAGAGAGAATCCGAAGCAGGGCCCCAAACCTACGAACCATGAGATTGTGACCTGAGCCGAAATCAAGAGTTGGACGCTCAACCCACTGAGCCACCCAGGAGCCCCATAAATATTGTCATTCCTAAAATATGTTTTTCTAAAATTTTCTTTAGCTCTTACCCTAATATTGTGCTTCAGTCAGAAGTTATTGAAGAAGTTAAGTCAGGATTTCTACACTGTTGATGCTTTGACAGGATGCCCGTGGCGGGCGCTGTGCTGTGCTGTGGAAGCTGTCTGGCGGCCCCTGCGGCCTCTGCCCACCAGATGCCAAGAGCGCTTCCCAGTTGCGACAGCCAGACATTGCCGTGTGCCCTGGGGAGGGGAGGGGAGGAGGGTGGGCCAAATCAGGGTCCCCCAGCCCTGGAGAACCACCGAGCTAGGGGGCTGTTGGTGTTGGTTTCCTCGAAGGAAATTTACGCACGTCCCCCGATTCCAGCAGGACCCTCGTCTTGCTGAGAGGGAGGGGCTGTTAAGGGCTCTGTGAGTCTGGGGTGTTCAGCAGTGTTTGTGTAGACGCCTGGGCGGCAGAGGGGACAGGAAGTCAGTAACACACGTGTCCACGGGAGAAGGGCTGTTTCTGTGAAGCGAAAGGTTTAAGGCTGCTAATCTGCGCTGGCCTGGAAGGTAATGATCAGCCTCGAGTGCTTACAGCTCCTTCTGGGCGGCCCTTTACACAGCTGCCCGCGGGGGTGGTCCCGGACCAGATGCTTGGACCACACTGGAGGCGTGAGAGGCAGCGGGCGTGGGGAGAGGGGCGGCCTGCGGGTGGTGGGAGGAGGGGTGCGCTGCACCTGGCTGTTTTCAGAGACCCTTTGGCCTGCCTCCCCACCTGGCTGAGGGCTGCTTGGGGGCCCGGTCGACGCCCCCTGAGTCGTCACAGAGGCCAAGAGATGCAGGTTTGACCTGCGTGACCTCGGGGACTCCCATCGCCTCTGTGGTCCCTGTGTGTGCCGGGCCCATCACGCCTCTCGTAAAGAGCAGGTGCAAGACTTCCGGAAGACTTCCGTGTGAGCGAGGCTGTGGGCAGGGCAGAGACCCGGCGTGCGGATGGCACCTCTGGCCCTGCGCTCTGCTTGTGTTGGGGTTTCACGTAAGGTCTCCCCTTTCTTAGGGGCCTGCTCCATGGAAGAATGAGAAAGCATTGTTTTTAGGAAATTACATCTTGGGGCGCCTGTGTGGCTCCGTCGGTTAAGCGTCCGACTTTGGCGCAGGTCATGATCTCGCGGTTTGTGAGTTCAAGCCCAG